CAATAGCACAAAAAATAATTAATTAAAGAAACTAAGGGGTAGTGAAAAATAAAATCAATTATGTTTTAATAGTACTAGAGATTTTGTCCGGGCTGCGTCCGGGATTAGACAAATATAAATACATTTAATATATATAATGCACATATATACATTTCAGATAATAAGCTAATTGTGGATGTATTTTATTTGTTTCTTTTTATTCCTTTTCCAGTGTTTAGAACCTGACTGGTGTAATCGCAGCCATTGCGGATGAGGTTGCAAGCGTTTGCGGATACGAAAGATTGTGGTTTTAAACATTTGTAAGAGATTTGGATGACATGTAAAGTGGTTAAAAATTGTTGCGTTTGCTGGATACTTATGAATGGTTGACTACCAAATACAATAGATGTTAAATAATAAATTATAAATATTTATATTTTATATAATTATTAAAATATTAAAATCATATTTTTATAATAAATATAAAAATAATATTTATAAAATTATACTATTAGTTTTTTAAATTATACAAAATATTTTTGTTTGAAGTTTTTTAATATATATTAAAATATGATATACATATATATATATTGGTATTTTATTATTTTAATTTTAAATTTTATGAAAATTTTCTTTTTATATTTATATACTTTTTTGAAAAAAAGTATATATTTTTTTTAATTTTCTCTCCACTGCCCGCAACTGCAAAACCTAATTGGAAACAACTTTTGAATTTTAGAGGTTTAGAGCAGTTTGAACGATTTATAGTATTTTCTGTGATTGTTGCAAAATGTCAACAACCGATATCAACTGCAAAAGCTGCGTTTGCGGGTGGTGGCGGAGAAACCAATCAAACCCTTAATGTGACGTATTATAATATTTTTAATATTCCATCTTAAAATTGTAGTTCTATATTTTGTGCTACGCGGTGTTATTTTCGGTTTGGTTGTGACCGAAATTTTTATTTAGTTTTGAGTTTTGTGAACACGATTTAACTTTATATAGAACATAAGAGGTGTTGTCCAAGATAGAGGGTGTCTACGTCTATAGAATATACTTCAGCAATATAATGTTTGGCTTATCTAAAAAATATTGAGGTGTTAGATAGATTTTGCAATATCATATATCATTTGAGAATGTAATTTTTTCATAAAGAATTTCAAAAATATATAAAAAAATTATTCACCTAAAATTTTCTTGCTTTCGCTCATCTCCCATAGTCATTTCTTAACGAAATTTATAGAGCAAATAGACTTTCGGAGCAAATCTATTTACCTTGGTTTAGAAAAAGGACATTGATTTTTTATACCTTTTGTTATTTAATACCAATACGTGTACATGTTCTCTGTTTTGCTTTTGTCTCTTTGCTCCCCCGTGGATAGTTGATCGATTCTTTTCTATTCATGTGATCTTTGCAGTGAATAAGATCTGGAATCTCAACACTGTTTGCTAGTTGAAAGTGTAACATATTGGTATTTCACAAAAGTGTAACAAAAAAAATCAGTATATCATGAAATGAATCTTGTCACCTTAACACACGACATTATTGGCTATAAAGTTATTTTGGTGATAGAGATTGTGTTAGAAACAGCAAAAAATTTACTTCAACTACACTCTAAAAAAAGACATATCAACCAATATTTTGAGAGATTATTCAAGTTTCTGAATAGTTAAACAAAGATGAAGGATCTCATTCACCAAACCAACCATGATCTTTGACCTTTCTCTTAATGGAATTGTAGATTCTCTTGTGAATCATTTTACTTTCTCCATTTCATCATTCATAAATATTTGCAAAAAAAAAGAATACGGAAAAAAATCATCCAGTTCGGTAAACTTATTGCTCTGAAGTTGCCTTGAACTCTATTCCTCTCCACGCACATCCTAAACTCGTTATCGGTCAGGTGCTCTTGAATTTCCCCACTTAGTTTAGGAAAAAACCTCAGTTGTTCCTCCATCCACCTCGTTCATTCCATATAGAACACCACTGCTTTTGCTTCACATTGCATTTCCTCATTTGGTCACAAATTTTCAGTTACGAAATCTACAGCTTTTCTCGTATAAATGAAACTGCTACGTGCCAGAGCTGATGTTGCTAGAACCAATGGGTAGTCTACATTTCTGTTGATCTTCTTCTATAAGAGACCCTCCAATGAATACGCCCTAACTATATAACCATCATTAATCAAAATAATTACTTTTTAAGACATTTGGTGAAATAAAAATTATCATGTACATACTTATATGAAAATACATGTAGACTTTTAACTTGGGATCTGGCCGAAGATTACATATAGTTCATTTTCATACGAGTACATTGTAGTAAAATAATTGGTATGAATCATTGGTTTGATATCATGATTTATAGAGCACATATCATCTGATAAAAAAACAGTTATATTAAAGGAGAAGCAAAATAAAATAAAAGAGTAACCTTTAAAGTGTTTCAAAAAAAAAAAAAAAAAAAAAAAAAACCTTTAAATTGTACTATATTTATTTCTATGCTATTTTGCTGAGGTGTCAACATGACATATCTTCTCGGTCTTCTTTTAAATTTACTAGATCTTTTTTCCGTGCTATGCGCGGATTATGTGTTTTAATATCTTATCTTTTAAATTCGTTTTTACTATGAATTTTTAAACGGAATATAACTAATGTATTTCATGAAATACATTAATTATTTTGATCAATATGATTTTTTTTTCGTTAGTAGATGAGTAATAATTGTATGAAAGCATTAGTTTCATCATTTTCTATAAAAAAAAATTAAAAATATATAATCACAATTATTTTATTCAATAAATATTTTTACTCTTTATTTTATTTATCAAAAAAATAATTAGTCATGGCTATTTTATTATGTTGCATGAATTTTAATGAAAGCTCTTATTTTAATAAACGGTGTCCAAAAAAAGTTGCCGGTGAGCCGGTTTTGCTAACATTGTTATGGTTTAGCTACGATTTTTTAATTATGAACATTGCTTTTAAAAATATTGTAACAAACAAAATATGTATCAGTCATATGGAAATATATTAATTTGATTGTAATCTTTGCATAGTTATTATAAAACAAATTAAATATATGCATGACAATTTGAAAATGTAATAGCTGAACTGTTTATTATTTAATTGAAAATTAGAAATTCTAATGGTTTAGCAAACATGTTTAGTTCTGGTTTTAGATGGAGTTCCATTTATACACACTCAATGCTTTCTCAGTTGTGTGTTCTCTAGTTTTATTTAATTTAATTTAATATTGTGTTAATATTTATTATCTTGTAATGAATGTTTTTATATAATGTGTGAATCGTTATTCTGCAGTTCATCTTATTTATTTGTCATGACCTCTTTCAATTGAAACTTATTACAGTAAAATATTTAATTTACTTTCCTTAAATCTAGTTAAAATTTTAAATGTGATTGTTAAGATGCTTTACTATGGTTACGTTCTGTTCCTTTTTATATTTTGACGGGTTAGATTTTCAATCTATTTTTTTATCTTTTTCATCTATTTCATTTATATTTATATTTACACTTTATATGTTTTTCAAATTGTTGTATAATGTACCTCTTTCGTTTGACTGGAAAAATATATAATTTTACAATTTCCAGATTAATTAAATTATATAAATTGATTTGATTATTTTTGTTCTGATATTTAGTGTATATAAGATATGTATCATAAAACTTAGATGAGTTTTATATATAATTTTTATTAAATATTAAAAGATATTTTATAAAAATACTCCTTTTTAATATATAATACAATACAATGTTTGGAATATACTTATATAAATATAACTTATTAATTTATGTTTTAATGAGATGATATATATACATCAAATTTTCTAAAAAAATATTATTTTCATTATTAATTTATCGAATTCTTACTGCATGTATTACTTAAAAGCGAACATATAACTGATCCTTGCTGGCAACCCCAAATGACAATAGTGTTCCATGAAAACTGATCCTTGCTTTGGTTGAAGTCCAAAAATTAACTTCTATGTAAGTTTACTTTTATCCGCTGTGAACATGAAAGTTACAAATATTAGGGATTAATCCAAAAAATTGGCTTACCATAACCTTACTTAAAACCTAGTCCCAGTAATTTAAAGAATTTTGAAGTGCCATGACCACAGCATGTTCATGTCCACATGTAGATTCTTTTCATCCCGTGGGATGTGACACATTTTATTGAAAAGCAAGAGCCTGAAAATTTTGTGGCTAATCCTACATTACTCACACTTTCAAGTTGGAGACTGATCAATAAAATACAGGCAGTGATGAAGTTCCTAAGTGGTGTAAACATGTTCCTTACTCCATCCAGCCTTAAACTGAAACAGAAGCAGTTGAGGATTTGCCATTATCATAACCTTCTTAGAGATGCTTTTGTATAATAAAGAGATGGAGACGAAAATATGAGCAGCGAAGTTCCCTTCAGCTCCATATGTATAGGGTCTTAAATGGCTGACTAAGCCAGGGAGGTGAAAGAATTTTTAAGTCGTTGAATGCCTACTATAGCATGCCATTATAACCACTGGAAAAATGAATTCCAATGCTCGTTGTTTGTTAAACCAAAAAAAAACATTAAGGTTTCAAAGGGTAACATGAAACTCATGTCTATAGCTGAGAACTAATGAGCCAATTTTTTCAGGACCAGGTATAGATTGAGATCCACAAAGCCTTCAGTGGGTGCATAGTGAGATAGTTAGAAGGTATTCCACGTAGACTTGTTGGATTCTTCTCCGGTTACCATAGAAATCCATGGAATTGATCTTCATTTATATGTATAAATAGTGTTTTTTTTTTTTTTTTTTTTGACAACGTATAAATAGTGTTTTATATATTACAAAAGTACATGAATGATGATGTATAAATAGTGTATCATATATTAAAATAGTGTTATATATTACTAATGCACTTAAGGAGTTGAATTATATCAAATAGCCTTGAAAGATAATTGAAAAATAAGAATAATCTTCATGTGTCTTGTTAGACATTACATGTTAATTTTATGGTTACAAAAGGTAAGGGACGATGAAAGGGAAAGACTTTGGAGATGGGAAGAGGATGAGGAAAGACATGAAAACCGGTATGTAGCAGATGATCCCAAACGGGAAGCTCAGCTTCTGGTACAAACATTGTGAGTAGAAGGATAATGCAGAACAATGTGAAGGAGTAGAAAGGAAGAATGGTTTTCTAAGAAGGAAGAAGAGTAGTATCAGATTCGGTTTCTTCCATATAGCTATCTGCAAGAACAAAGACTGATCAAAAACTTTGACACTTTGAAGAAGAAAAGAGTTGTAACAGTTTACCTTAGAGGTTAAGATTGCACCAAGGCACAAGCAAAAAAGCTGCATAGGTCCTGAATGCCAACGGTTTTTCTGCTTCTTATGTGCTTCATAGGACTCAGGAACTTCACAAAGAACCTGTAGATTGTTCTCACTCAAGTTTAACATAATGGTTACATAAATATTAAAACCTGTACAGAGAAGCTAACGTTGCTGTCCTTAGATGAGATTATAATGGCTTTAAGATGCAGACCAATGCTAGATACGTTAGAGAATAATTTTGCTGTAGATTCGTCTGATGTTTGCTTGTGACTCCCGGCATTTCAAGGTGTAGAGAGCGTCTTCTCAGGTCATGGTGAAGAGCCTGCCACACACACACGCACATGAAAATGGTAGTTTCAGAGAAAATGACAGAATTGAGTAGAAGATGGGATTACAACTCTTAATTTAGTGACAATTAGTAACTTGTTCCCAACCCCTAAAAAGACAGAATGACAATTAGTAAGCATAAAACATGAGCAGTTTCCAAGAGTGCTAAATAGTTTATATCAGAATGCAAACGTGAGCCACGAGAAAATTTAAATGCCTTCACCTGTAAACTATCCTCAGAAGTAACTACTTACACTGTTTGTTTGCGTGTGTTTACATGTCCTAATCAAAGTTTTTATTCATCAGAAGAAAAAAGATACTTTAGAAGGTACAGCTTTTCTTTACAAACTGAATCAGAGAAACAACTTAGAAAAGACCAAATTTTAATTTGAGGCCAGTGCTTTCACTCTGAGGTGAAACCTATGATCACACAGAGTACATAACCAGCTACCATTCCTTGAATACACCAATCGAAAATTTTGTATCAAGTAAACCTGTCAAAAATTAATTAATATTCAAAAAGCGAGATAAAATATCTGAAAATCTCATACCTTGCCACTTAGCACTTCAAGGCAGCTTTGTAGCTTTGGTCCTCCATCGCCACACATCTGTAAAAAATTTCAAGGGTCAGAGTAAAGGTAAAAATTTTAAAACGCAAGCTAAATAGAGTGTTGAAGCAAAAACAAACCTCCACAAAATCCAAAGTGGCTGCATTGCTTAGTTTTGTCATCTCTCTGTCCAAGACTACAAAATGGCACTGTCATAGTCATCGCTAGATGAAAATAGAGTGTAAATTAACTGTGAATGAGTATTTAAATTATGATGTTCCTTTAGATGAGACAGGATGACCACTTCATACCTGATGACACCTCTTCTTCTGATTAAAAAAAAGCAATAGAGATGCATATATGTGAGAGTACTGGATATATAAACATACCTCTTCTTCGGTGATGAGAATAGATGAATCAGCATGAAGGTCATAAGTTTGAGGGAACTACATTAATCAACACAGAGTTTGAGTTTCTTCAGTGTAGCAACAAAACTGAAAGCCAAAAAGAGAGAGATATCATTTAGTAACAGATACATGGAGCCAATTTTGTATTGGTAGTGAAAGTTTTTTTTCAGTACTTACCCTCCATAGACAGCTCTCGATCCATAGTGTTTTCTTAAATACCACCAATCAATTCCCACGCTCTTGAGGTATGACTTCCATTGATCCGAAACTGCTCCCAAGTATCCGAGAAATACCAACACAGCTTTAAAAAAGCAACAACCACCAGTGCCAAATCAAAGTAGGATTAAGGTAATGTAGTCTATACTGAGCTTAAGAGATAACTCACCTCGAAAATAAGAATCTCTGTCGTCTTCGTAAGCTCCACAAATTTTGTATCCTTCCACGTTTGTTGGTTGCCCAGGGATACGGTGGGGGGGATTGTATCGTCTTTTCCGGCTTGATTGCGATCTGTAACTCCGTCGTGACTCAACCGCGGTGACTGGTCTTTCCGGAGGGAGGAAATCAAACGACGGTGTGTACGGTGGCTGAATTGGTGTCAACGATTCTCGAGACAGTGTCTGGTATGGAGAGTAGCTGAGCGACGATGAGAATAGATACGACGGAGGTAATGTCGTGAAATAAGGCTGAGATGAAGGGAATCGCGGCCATGTTTGCATCATCAGCGGAGGAGCAGCATGCGATGATGGTGCCAGACGACGCACCGGCGCTATCTGAGGGGAGTACGACGTTGGTGGTCGCAAGCTCAGTGAAAGAGGATGGAGGCGTGGATCGTTATCATCACCAGTCAGTAACCCGTCGTTTCGAGACTCGTTCATCACCACCACTTGATTCGTTGCCCGATCGTCTTCCCAAACTCTTCTTCTCTGATTACCTCCGTTCTGATTGTTGTTCTCATCTTAACACTGGATGCCGTCGTTTTGAAGCTCCTTCGTCACCATTGCCGATGGATTTATTCGACGGCGTTGATGGTAAGGAAAAGAAGCATCACGTTTTTAATAATTAATCATTACTGGACCTCCCAGCAAAACGAATTTCAGGCCTAAAACCAAAGAAACAATTACACTGAAGGGCAGTTTCAACTTTCTTATTACACTATAAGACAGTTTATATTACTAGAGTACTTTTATCTAACTAAACTCATTTTCTAGCTATACTTTCCTAGCTAAACGAACCAACTATATATTGTTTTCTCTTTTAAGTTATTTGTCAAAATATCTTTTCTCTCTCTCCCTCTCTCACATTTTGATCTATTAGTTTCTACTAGACATAAATATTTACAATTACTATACAGTTTGACTTTTTTTTTTTAGAATTGAGAAAAATCAGACAAACAACTCCAAAACAAAATTTTTATTTTTCTCATATTTTTTTTTGTTTGAACCATTTGGTTTTAATTTCCATTACAGAAATGCAAGGTTCTATTTCAAAGATTGATCTGGAGATTATCAAGTTACTTCTAGTTTCTGGTGCTAATCATTTTGAATCCATCGTCGAAGCTCTTGACCCTCGTCATCTTCTCCATCATCCGCTTCAATTAAGCTCCTCCGTGAATCTCAGGCGTTGTCAACTTATGCACCACAATCTCAGCCACCGTCTAATTAGCAAAGAGAAAGCTCAAGCAACAATGGTCAAAACTCTCTTATTTGCACATTTAATCCTTGAATATTGAGGTTAAATTTAATTTTATCCCAAATTCTTTTATTTGCAGATATATCCCCTCTAATTGACTCTCATACTTCAAAATATGCAATTTAACTAGCCCATGTTTTGGTGGATAACTTTGGTGTTAGTCATTTCCAGTCCCTCAGATTTTGCAACATTTCTTTTTTTACCCTAAAACTTCCAAATTTACATTTTTTATCCTCGGTGATATGCAACAAACAAAAAAAAAAAATATATACAACCTATATGAAACCTAAAATGATCTAAATGAACTATAAAAATATACTCATTAAAATTATCATATATCATAACTTCTGTGCAAATGAGTCCGTATACTTGTGTTTTTTTGTGTGAAACAGGAGTACACATGGACAGTATAATATATGTGTACACATGAAGTTCTAAATTTTAATTTTTATCCCATGTGATATGCATACTTAACAAACAAATTCAATATATGCATAAAAAATGATTTAAACAAACTAAAACAAGTTATTTAAAATTATTTTTAGCAATTATACTAAAACCATTTAAATTATTCAGTATCATAACTTGAACAATGTACATATGAGTCAGTATACATGTGAAGTTTTATAAAACCTTGTACATGTAAACAATAAAATATATGTGTACACGACAATATTTGACGTGGTTCATATTTAATATATTCTTTTATATGTACACATATGTTTTTAACTATCAACAAGGGCTAATGTGTACAATATACATATTATATTTTATCAGATATTTATATATACACATATGTTTGAGATACATGTTAGATGTCCAACATACTGTAAATTTGTGTGCATTCGTTAGTGTACATGTGTATATTAAAGGTTGGACGCGTACATGTGTACATCAAAGATGGTGTACATGATATATACATGAATATTTGGAAATGATATACACGTGAATGTTTGGGAATATGATAATAATTCAATATATGCATCAAAAAATGATATGTGTACACGATAATAATTTTATGAAACCTTCTACATATGGACAGTAAAATATATGTGTACACGACAATTTTTGACGTGGTTCATATTCAATATATTCTTTTACATGTACACATATGTTTTTAACTATCAATAAGGGCTAATATGTACAATACACATATTATATTTTATCAGATATTTATATATACACATATGTTTGATAAACATGTTAGATGTCCAACATACTGCAAAGTTGTGTGCATTCGTTAGTGTACATGTGTACATTAAAGGTTGACGGCGTACATGTGTACATCAAATATGATGTACATGATACATGAATATTTGGAAATATGAATATTTAGAAATAATATACACATGAATATTTGGAAATATGATAAAAATTCAATATATGCATCAAAAAGTGATCTAAACGAACTAAAACAAATTATTTGAAATTATTTTTAGCAACTATACTAAAAACATTTAAATTATTCAGTATCATAATTTGAGCAATGTACATATGAATCAGTGTACATGTGATTTTTTTTTAGTAAAATACAATGTACACATGTTCTGTTCGTACACATGAAACATGTGCACATGTACATATAGAATCATGCTGTTTAATTCACGTAAACCACGCTTCATTATCCTTATACATGTACATACAAATCTATCTCTTTAACATGTACATGTGTACACTAACATTATGTACACTAATATTATGTACACATCTACATGGTCATCCAATATACATGTGTACACGAACATGTGTACACTAACATTATGTACACTTCCACGTGGTACACTAACATTATGTATACATCCACGTGGTATTTCACATAGTGGACATGTCAACTATTGTGCATGTGGATAGTGTTTAGTTTTGTGTACATCAGGCCATGTACATATGACTACATACAATTACCATTAAAACAACGCACACAAGAGATAATCCATACCCCATAGAAAGGAAAATATCTCTTATAGATCTGGATATATTTTACTTATAACTCATCTTTACCTTAATATCTCATACTTTTGATGAGTTTTAGATTTTTATTTAAATTTATTTGGATCATTTAGCTTACATATTAAGTGTATATTTATATTAGTATGCTCATTTGTATATACATGAGTGTATCAAAGTTTGGGACAAAATAAAAAGGTTAATTTTTCAAATTTGAAACTTCAAAGTCAAAAATGAAAACAAAATATTTAAGGACCAAATGAGCAATAAGATGAAAATTGACCATTGTTGTTCTCGAGTGTTTACTTTCCGACATAGTGACGAACCATAATCACTTAGGACGGCAATAGCTGTGGATCTGAGTGTGGCGAAGTGATGCAAAGGTGAATCTTCAGAGAAATGAAACATCAAGAAGGAGCTCACCGTATGTCCTCGTCGTTGAATTGCGTGGAAAACTTTGTTCTGGATCTCTGCAAACAACGTATATCACAGATCTCAAATTTGCCATGGGATGCTAAATGATTTTAAGAATCTTGCACTTTTACTTGATTTTTAAAGAATTTCATGCAACACCGTTTTAAAAGATCAATGTGGAAAAAAAACACAGACCAATATATGATAAAGTAAGAAGATGAAAAGATAAAAGAATAGTGAGTCCTATTAATTTGTACTCTAGTTATGTTTTAGTTAGAAAAGAAGATACTGAGTTAAGAGAAAGTGTCCTAGTAGCACAAAGTGTCTTTTCTTGTTATAAAAACTCATAATGTGACCCTGAGTGTAAAACACTCAAAACCAAATCTAGCCCAACCGAATGCATCTGATGTGGCAGAATGAAATGTCCCTATTGGTTGAATATAAGAAATGACGTGGACAGCTTCAAATGCTTTCATTTGCCCCTTTTATTTATAGTAGATCCTTTTAAATCTAGAGTAATTACTAATTGTGCCATTGGTATGACTTAATACACAAAAAATACAATGATACATTAAAAACTGCATATCATATGGTGTTATTATAACTGTTGTGTGTTAATTCACATCTGATTTTATGTTCCCACCATTTGACTATCCTCCATCGTTACTTTAAACTTTAAAGGTTGTGTATTATTTTGTAACCTGCAGAAGAATAATTTCATTATATAACTTCTACACAAACAAATATTCATACAATATTTAGGTATAGATTAATAAAATAACAAAGATATATTCTCACTTTTCAGCATGATATACGATCACAATAATGATGCTTTTAGAACAAGGTGAGATTTTCATTATGCTCATATGAGCGTGACTATATCTAAATCTATTTTCCCAAAAGTAATAAAAATCGGCAAGTTTATCAAAAAAGATATATCCGCCAATATCAATGGAGTCAAGAAACTTGCAGTACAAATTTAGCATTTACGATATCATGTTTTCAGTAAGAGATATGACAAGTTCTAAGTTTACTTCCAGAAAGATAATGAAGATCGGTGTTTATGATCAAAATGGGTCCTATCTCTAAAACAATAAAATCATGTACTAATCCTTATAAATTTAGCATGATTACTTACATGTTGTATACATGTAACTTTGATAACTTTTCAAAAAAATTCAACTGAAACAGCCTACGAAAAAGATAAGTTTGGATTTTTTTCATAAAGATGGCATATCCTTTAAATTAAGATTTTTCAACATGTTAATTTCGTGGTCAAAGATAACTTCCAAAATATTAAAGTCGTATCTTTCAAATTTGAAAATGATTTTATGCAATTTCTGAAAATATCCAACCGTATCTTTCTAGTTAACCAGTGTGTTTTCCTAGTTTATAGTGCATGTTAGATAATGTCAATTTTATTGATAAACTTTACATATAAATCTGTATCATTTTAAAAATATAATTTTAAATTCACTCTGCGCAAGGCGAACTCATTCCTCGTAAGACGAAGGTCTTATCCTGGTTATAGATTAAAGTTGTGTGATAACCGTTTCAACTAACGGATACATTGATTAACTTAACAAAAGCAATTGTATATATTTCTAAATTCATTCCGACTTTGTTACTTATTTTTTTTCTTGGACATGGGAGCTTGTGTAATGAATGTGGGGGTCATCCTTGGATTGTTACTCAAAAATTTACCTTTTCCAGTTCTCTTTACTTATACAGTAAAAATTCTATAAAATAATAATGTTGGGAATTTCAAAATTTACTAATTTACAAAAATTCCTTATTTAGAATTTTTATTTTAAAATATATTTATTCTAAGATAAAAAAATATATTTGATTTTAATGTATAGACATTAATTATTATTTTAAATTTTTAATATTTATATTAATTTTATTATATTATTTGATATAAATAATATATATTGTATAAAATTTAAATGTGGTTTAGATATAATGTTACTAAAATCTCATCAAAAATATATTAAGTGTTAAGCAAATATAAAAAAAAATTATAATGACAGGTTCTTACTTATATAAATATGTATACATATAAATTATTAATTTATAATTTTAATGGGACCATATATTTACATAGTATTTTCTAAAAAAACATTATCTTATTATTTTACTGAATATTAGTTTATTAAGATAATATTTTTTTTAGAAAATACTATTTAAATATATGGTCTCATTAAAATTATAAATTAATAATTTTTGTATGTATACATATTTATATAAGTAATAGCAATCATTATATTTTTTGTTTTATATTCACAATAAAATTGTCTTTATATGTTCTTAACACTTAATATATTTTTGATGAAATTTTAGTAACATTATATCTAAAACCACATTTAAATTCTATACAATATATATTATATACATCAAATAATATATAATAAAATTAATATGAATGTAAAAAATTTTAAAATAATAATTAATGACTATACATTAAAATAAAATTATTTTTATCTTAGAATAAATATATTTTAAAATAAAAAATCTAAATAAGGATTTTTTCTAAATTAATAAGTTTTTAAAGTCCCAACATTATTAATTTATAAAAGTTTTACTGTATAACTAAAGAGAATAGAAAAAGTAAATGTTTTGAGTACAATCTAAAGATGACTCCCATGTTCATTACACAAACTCCCATGTCCAAGGAAAAAATAAGAAACAAGGTCATTTCAGAATGAATTTAGAAATATATAGTTGCGTTTGTTAAGTGTATAAATATAACCATTAACTGAAATAGTTATGTAGGATGCAAATTGTGTATAAGGTTCATGGTTCAAACCCAGACTTGGACAAATTTTTGTCATTAAAAATTACAGCCAAAACGACGTAGTATTGATAAATATTACAATTATACACAGATAAATACCCATATACATGACCGAGGGTTATATTCCAGATTGATTGGCACTTGGAAAGTTGATCAGTAAATTTTTGAGTTCGCCGTTTAATTTGCAAAAAAACAACATCGAAGGTTTTTTTGCAGAAAACCTTTTTTTTAATAGAGTATTTGTACTCCATACCTACAACATTTACCATATTTGTATTTCATATCTAATTTTCCCCAATTTTTTTTCTCTCCATCATCACTATTTCTCCACAATATTTAGATATTTTCTTAATTACTACATTCTTCTTGTATTATCAGCTAATTCATCCTTTTTAATATTGGCATATACTAATTGGTATAATTTTAATTAATTTTGAATCGAGTCTCTGTGTTTAGAGCTATTGATAACCATTGCAGACTTTTCGTCCATCTCCAAGAATCAAGCGAGTCAGCCTCTTTCCGTCTGTCTCACCATCTTCTCTTCCCCTCTATTCGAATCTAGACACGGTCTTCGTCTCCGACAACAAAAGTTGTTTTTGTCTGATCGCGATGCATGCTCTCAAGGACAAGGTCTCGCAGAAGCTCTCGAATCTCTTCGCCGATCCCCCTAGCCAATCTGCTTCTCCTCGTTATTCGCTCACCCATTCTCCAAAGGTATTTCCTTTCCCTTTTTCTCCCCCCTGTGTTTCGTCTCGAATTAGATAACCTTAAATCGACTTTTCCCTCTTTGATTTTGATCTTCAATTATTTATGCGTTTTCTGAATGTGCAGGACTGGCAAAATTCAAGTTCTGGGAATGAGAATGAGGAGGAGTCTGATGGAAATGGAAAAAACCAAGCTGGGACAATGATCTCGAATGGCCAAGACAAGGGCAGTGAGTTACGTGTTTCTGCCAAAGTAGAAACCGGCTATGATGAAGGGCTAAGGCAAATAACAGAAAGCTCTGCTTTTATCTCTGCTAACTTGTTTGAGTTCTTGCACGCGTGTCTTCCAAATATCGTAAGAGGTTGCAAATGGATCTTGTTATATAGGTAAGGAAAAAAAGAGAAGATATGTTTATTGGATATTTTGATACTTAGTTTGTTTCGGTTTTAACTTTTAACTGGTTGAAGGGCAGTACGTTGAAACATGGTATATCGCTTCGTACGCTTCTGCGTAGAAGCGCAGACCTTCCTGGTCCTTGTTTATTGGTTTGTTTGCTTGCCTCTTTGATAATATTTTTGAGGAAGAAAGTTTTTTTGAATGAGAGAGATCTTAGTTTTGTGATGATTGGGTTTGGTGGTGTAGGTTGCTGGAGACAAACAAGGTGCAGTTTTTGGCGCTATGTTGGAATGTCCGCTGAGAACTACTCCTAAGAGGAAATATCAGGCAGACTAACTATTTTGCAATGATACTCACTCTCATTATTGTGTTTGCATTTCCATTTTATATTCACTACAATATGGAAATGGTAAAGCAAAGAAACATAGAGGGCCTAATTCGTTTACGTAAGTGCTGATTCTCTCACATTTTGTTTTGATTGCAGGGTACAAACCAAACATTCATGTTCACAACAATCTATGGTCAACCACGCATATTTAGACCTACAGGTAACCACGTATAGGTAGAGGAGGGATATATGGGTGGAAGAATATGGAGAGAACTGAAAAGTGAAATTCTGTGGAGAATGCCCAAGTCTCTCCAATAGCAGATTGAATATAGGTTCCAATTGATTCTGTTGAGAAACTTGTTCTAGGTTAGTTGAATTGTTGCTACAAACCATCTAGTGATAGAAGAAAGATAGAGTTACTTGATGTGGAATGTGAACTTTTCCTATTATTTAGAAGCTCTTCATGTAATTTGTTGATTATCCATCCCTAAACAATGTGAACCAAGGACTAGAAAGGTCGAGCCCCTCAAGTATTTGTACTCAGTGACCTTTTCATAAATTTGGGTGCAGGTGCCAACCGATATTACTATATGTGTATGAATGAATTATTGGCGTTTGGAGGTGGAGGAAGCTTTGCTCTATGTTTAGACGAAGATTTGTAAGGCACCTCATTCCATTTTGAAAAGAAAAGAAAAGAAAAGAAGAAAAAAAAAACACTTTTAATCGTTTTGATGATACTCATACCGAATGTTTCTACTTGAACAAGGTTGAAAGCAACAAGTGGACCTTCTGAAACATTTGGGAACGAATGCTTAGCTAGCAGCACAGAATTTGAGTTAAAGAATGTCGAGGTAATATATCAAGTTATTCACTGTAACAGCCTTATCGACATTACCATACAAGTTCATGTTGTTGATATTTGCAGCTCTGGGGATTTGCACATGCGTCTCAATACCTCTAATGAACTTGAAGATCCCTTTCTTGGTCGAGAATTGATATACTTCAAAAGAAATCTTATTCTTCTTTTTCAAAAGTTATGATTAGGCTAAGACAGTTTTCATGATTGTATTTGTGTTGCTGAGAATACTGATTCAGCTGTGATATTTTTCTTTCCGAGACTGTAACTCAACATTGGTGTTATTGTTTGTTTGTTATATAAGATTCATTTGGTTTCAAAAGTAGTATCTCAGAGTGATTGGTACAACTTTCAGAATGTGAATGGCAATTTCTGTTTTAAAAGAGGTTTTGAACAAAATACAACTAGACAGGAACAAGAAGAAGAGGGTTTGTATACAGACAGGAAGAGAGGAACAATCCAATCAAGCGAGGAAGCCAAGCCTCTCTCCATTCTTCTTAGCAAGCCTAATCAGTCCTTGTCTCTGTTTGGCATCAGCTCCTATCGATTTACAGAACTCTGTAATCACCTAAAAAAACAAAACACAAAACTTTTTGATTCTGCTTTTTGCACTATACACTTTTTAAGGGTTTAAACCAGAGAATAATGGATGAAGACAAAACCTGAGAGTGTAAAGCAATGGCTTTGCCTCTAAGCTGATTAAACCTCTTCTTGCCTACTATGTTCCTAGTGACAACGACAAGTGGAGCAAATAAGCCTTTGCCTTCGTTGACATTCTTCATCACTGGTTGTACTCTGATGGGTTTTCGGGAGACTTGAGCTTGCTTAGGTGGCGCAGTTGTTTTGGCGAGCATGGTGTGGTAATCATCGCCTGAGATCGAGTTTCCCCAACCACCATAGAAGGATGTTCCGAGTAAACCTTGATTTGCAGAAAGTGAAGCAGCAGCCATAGGAAACAGCTTGTGCTTCTCTCTCTGATTGATGCTAATGGTGGAGAGAAAAAGAAAGTGAGCGTCTGTTGTTTGATTTGGAGTTGAACGTTATGGTGTGGACGAGGTTTAGGGTGGTGTTGTGGTTTGGATGAAGAAACGAGAACCACAAATATGATTCTTGTGTTGATGTATCAAGTTTTGCTTCTGTGGTCTTAATTTACGGGGGTGGTGTAGAAAATAGGCCCAATTCTTGTTTCTAATCTTTCCCATGACATAGAGAAACCCAACAGCTTGACGATTTATACTCGTTTGTCCTAGACAAATAAAGGAAAAGTCAGTGTTTGGAAACCCAACTCATATCCATAGTTGAAGTGGTAAACACGGTGACCTAAAATAAATCAAATTTGAACCAATAAATAAGTTTTACCCTTAAAATTTTGATAATCAAAAGACTATAGTACCCTTAATTAATCAAACAAAAACCTAAAACTACTCTATTTTTCCCACGATGTCTTCTTCAAATATCAGATCCATCCCGATTGAACAATATCTCAAGTTCTCTACAGAGATCAAATCCGACGAGAGTCAACCGGCGAGTTTTGAAGAATTCTTCTCCAATCGTTGTCCTAGTTAATTTACGAGGAAACATTTCGTCGTAAACGCGTGGATACGTATTTCGTCGTAACGTCCTCGTACATATTTCCTCGTAAAGTCATAAAAACACATTTCCTTGTAAGCTCGTCGTAATGCTTTACGAGGAACTTACTTCAAAAGTTTACGAGGATTTACTTCGAAAAGATTACGAGGAATTTACTTTGAAATGTGTTTTCCCTATTAAAAAAATAATAATTAAATAAATAAAAATAATATAATTTTTAAAAATTAAAGAAACCAAATTATATAAAAAAAAGAAATAACAAAATATTTTATAAATCCTACTATATATTAATTGAGAAATCATTTTAGTGATTTTTGCTTAGATGTCACTCATAGGTGAAGTTTATAATTAATTCTCTTAATTTTATTGGTTGTTGGTATTTGAATTTTTCATTTTATTTAAATCAAGTTTTTAAAAGGAAACGAATCATAGAGTTACCTACATAAAATATCATTGAATTTCCTAATCTAATATGTTATCAAATAAACAATCAAACATCTTAAAGTTAAGAGAAGTAACATATTTTTTGTTGAAACAATTGATTATCATAGATTACATCATAGAATTTTATAATATAAAAATAAATACATATAATACTATTTAAAAAAATATATAAATGATTTAAACATATTATATTTATATTAGATATAATAATCATATATTTGATAATATTTTTACTCATTATATACTGTACGTGTTATATAAAAAATGTGTCAAATGAATACAAAAACGTTAAATATATAGTTTTTTTTAATTACTAAATCCTTGTAATTGACAATGCAATATCATGTTTATTTATCACTTTATAAACATTTAGAGTATATTTTTATATTTATAATATCATATTCTCATCCTAATATATATTAATTTAAAATTTATTTTAGTGATTTTTGCATAGGTATCACTCAGAGGTAAAGTTTATAATTAATTCTCTTAGTTTGATTAGTTGTTGGTTTTGAATTTTCATTTATTTAAATAAAGTTTTTAAAAAGAAACAAATCATAGAATTACCTAATCTAATATGTTATCAAATAAACAATCAAATAGCTTAAAGTTAAATAAAGAGAAAATTGGTAAAAAAAGGACACCTTGAACTATGATTGGGAAACCTAAGATTTCTACAAGATTAATTGGTAAACTAAGACTTATATTTTTTAAATACCATTATACCCCCTAATTAACATAATTATAACTTAATTTCGTCATATTAAAACAAAAGAAAAAAAAGTAGAAAAAGTTAAAAAAAAATATAAGTCGTGTGAGGATAAAACACGGCGTTTTATCATTTACCCTAATTTCATACTCTCTCTTCTTCCCCGACGAACCTTCAGTGGCGATAATGGAGATTTAGGGTAAATCTCCATTGTTTCCCCTCCTACTCGTTTATCATCGATTTCTTCTCTCTAATATTCTTTTTCTCCCTTATTCTCTTTGTTCTCAGGGATAAATCGAGTAGATTTGTTCTTCCAATCAGATTTCGCTCAACCGATCTCACTAGGTTTGCGATTCTCTTGACGATAATTACTTGTTTGGTTGATTAAGCTTCTAATCGATTCATATTGGCTTTTAATCGATTCATATTGAATCATGCATGTTAACAATTTTGACCCGATTTTGTATATTTGTTAGACCCGATTTGGTTTATTTAATAAACCCTAATAACTTGTTTGGTTGATTAAGCTTCTAATCGATTCATATTGAGTCATGCATTTTAACAATTTTGACCCGATTTGGTATATTTGCTAGACCCGATTTGGTTGATTTGCTAAACTAAAAATTACTTGCTTGGGTTGATTAAGATTTTTGCTTAACTAAAAATCTTAGTCATGTATGTTAATTTTTTTGGTTCATGTTAAACAATTTGGTTCATCTTAAACATATAGTAATAGGTGGAGAAGGGTTAAACATATAGTAAACGACTTAGTAGTGTTGGGAGCTTAGTTTTTGGCTCATGTTAAACGATTTGGTTCATGTCTGAATGTACTGTTGTTCTGTGAAATCTTAGTAATAGGTGGAATATGTGTTTAACACTAGGCAGATTGTACAAGTTAAACTACATTGTTGTTTATTTCTTTTTTTTTGTGCTCTCATTTCATTATTTTATTTTTGATTGTAGGTATGTCTGGGGAGTTACCAAAGCGGCTTATTGAGGCGGGTGAGGAGACCCAAGTGACTCAGATCAATAACAACTGCAGGATGGTATGTTACATGGATATGTTGAAGGGATGGCTGACAAATGAGTTGAAAGAAGTGAAGAAAGATCCGCTATTTGCTCAGATTTTTAAGCTCTACGAGAACGGTTTGGGTTACTCCGCGAGAGTGATACACAGCTTCTTGTGTTGGGAGCTGGTGACTTACAAAGACTATGATCTGTGGTTTACCTTTGCGCGTAGACCACTCCGGTTTTCGTTGTTAGAATTCCACGCAGTAACCGGGCTTCAATGCAATACTCGTCTCTCATGTAAGGAGTTGATTGAATGGGAAGATGATGGTGGTTATTGGAGCACAGTGGTGAGGAGAAAACAGGGAGTTTGTATGTTGGACCTGTGGAAAAGTCACCAGCAAGATGTTAAGAAGTGGAGTAATGCTGATCGAATCAGACTCGTGTATCTGTGCATCATTGTTACTATGGTTTGCGGCCGAGATGAGAAGGCTAATATTCCCATCAAGTATGTGAAGCTGGTCATGGATCTTGAGAAGTTTTGAAACTATCCTTGGGGAGTTGCTGCTTTTGACCTTCTATGCGAGTCAATAGGTAAAACTCGTGAGAAACTGAAGGAGAAGACTACCAGTTACGTGTTAGATGGCTTCTCCTACGCCTTTCAGATTTGGGCCATGGAAGCTGTACCAAAGATTGGAAAGCTCTTTGGAAGAAAACTCAACAAAAATTTTGTGAACGGTCCTAGATGTGTAAACTGGAGAGGAGCTGCAAAGATTTCATATGGGGAGATCATCCAGTTGGAGAACATCTTTACACCCGAGGTAAATATTTCTATTTAAGATGGCTACATCCGATTTGATATGAGTTTGTGGTATGTAACATTGTTTACCTTTCTTGTGTAGGATGTCATCTATCCATACATCTCATGGGGAGGAAATTGTGTAGTAATTGAAAGTGATGAATTCTACAGAGCTGATGAGGTGGAGGATGATAGAATCAAGGTTGTCATGAGGATGATAGAAGCTAAGCATGACTTCAATGACCATATTTGGGAGTTCGAAGAGACACCAGAATTTTCTTTTGGGGTTAATGACAAGCAAGAAGAGGCTGATGGAGTATCTGAGGATAATGGAGTATCAAGGAATGATGAAGGATCGAAGACTGATGAAGATGCTCCCAAGAATGATAAAGAAGATGGGAGTGATGAAGAGTTTCAAACTCCAAGAGGAACAGCGAACACAAGCTCTGGAGGTAGAAAGGGAAAGAGGAGGCTCCCGGATCGTGGAATGGAAAAACGGAAGCAAAAGGTTCTCTCCACTAGACCAAAAGGTCCTGCTCCGTTTAGTGAGGATATGAAGAGCTTTGTGGCAAATTTGTTTCAGCAGAACTTTTCGGCAATGGAAGAGAGGCTACAGAAACATATGGGTGAAAGGTTTGAGAAAATGCATTCTGAGCTTAAATATTCCTTTACCGATGCAGCCGTGGAAGTTGAGCCATCTTCTAGCAAGCCATCTGCTACCAAGCCATCTTCCACCAACCAAACTCCAAGCGAGCCAACTTCTACCAAACCCTCAACGAGCAAGCCATCTCCTACCAAGCCACCTTCCACCAACCTAACTCCCACCAAGCCCACGTCTATCAAACCCTCATCGAGCAAGCCATCTCTTACCAAGTCATCTTCCACCAACCTAACTCCTAGCAAGCCCACGTCTACCAAACCCTCATCAAGCAAGACAACGTCTACCAAGCCATCACCGAGGAGGTTCACTCGCTCGGTAAGCATGGGAAAAAAACACTAGTCTACTCCACTCTCAAATGTTATTGTGTGTTTGTCTGTGTTAGTGTCTTTGTGTAATATATTTATGCAATGCTTTTGTAATTCGATGTGTGAACTATGCTTTTGTATTGTAAGATAATGAAACTATGTGTAAGATACTCCGGTCATAATCTATGCTTATGCTTATGTTTGTGTTTTTGTATGCTTTTTATATTTGTTATTATACTAGCATTTAATCATTTATCTTCAATTAACAGGATGACAATTTCAGTGAGGCAGAAGATATGGACATAGAGATAGATACGCAAGATCTAGAAGACCTTTCTCAGATTTCGAACGTGGCAGGTTTTGATCCATCGCAGACTAATAAGGACATGGAACCATGTGGTTGGTGGACTCCGATGAGTACAGTCCGGAAAATAAAGGTCGAACCAGTAGAAAATAAAGCTCCACCGCCAACCAAGTGGACTATATGGAAAAGGAAACTTGAGCTTAGTGACTCACCCATGCCGTCTGATGGTTCTCCACAGTCCTCACTGTATTGGTTCCACGAAGAATCATGGGATAGATTCACTGAATGGTCTATGAACCCGACAACTTTAAAGATTGGTCCTACAGCCTTTAATATGACTGTAGCTACGAGAGTAATAGGTCCTGAAAAATGGCTTGGAAACGAGGTATTGCTTTCTTAATTATATAAGGTTGATTTTGGGAGTTTATTTGAATACTGCATTGATTAATTTTCCATGTGAATATTCAGGAAATTGATGCGTTCATGTATATATGGCGAGTGAAGACTTCTTTGAGGCATTGGGCACCAGACCGTGTTGCTTTCATGCCCGCCTTTTTTTGCCTTTAAGTTGAGAAAGGATACCTCATCTTTACAGGTAACAAAAAAGGCTATGTATTAGGTGATATTCTTCTAGCTTACGGAAGAGGAGAACTTCCATCTCATGGGCGGACTAATAGAGTATGGGGTGTCGATGTTGATCGTCTCTACTTTCCTCTGTTTTTCGGAGGTAATATTCATTGGTCATTTTTATAGGTCTTCATTTAGATCCATGTATTAAAAGATTTAGCAATGTTCAATGCACGTAATCACTGGATAGCTGTCTGCGTCAATTTCATTGAGAAGACAGTTGAAGTATTGGACTGCTTGCAGGGAAGGAATAGGCAATACGTGGAGAAGTTTGCTATTATGATTCCTAGGATAGTAAAGGCTGTTGCACCACCTCAAAACAAGAAGCATCTACTCCTGGAAAAGTATTCTATCGTAGAGGTACCTCTGAAGGCTAGATTGAACAAGAGTTTATGTGATTGCGGGGCATATGCACTCAAACATCTGGAATGCGAACTCCTTGATATTGACCTCAGTTTAGTGGATGATGAAATCATCCAGGGTTGTCGTCAAAAGATTGCTCTGGATATATGGGAGGCTGCAAGAGATCCCATTTTAATTGATTTGATGGCACAATATGTGCCTTCTAATTTTGAGTCATCTATTGTATTTGATCTCGTGGAAGACTGATCATGTGTATTTGGGTTTATGTTTTAGTTTGGTTTTTAGCTGATGACACTACTTTGTTTGGTTTTTTTAATGGATTTATGTGACAATACTAATTTGGTTTTTTAATGATGTATCAAATTATTTGCTATAGTCAGCCCGAAATCCTAACTTAACTTTTAACTAACTCTAACTAAACCCTAAACAAACCCTAAACCCTAACTAAACCCTAAACAAACCCTGAACAAACCCTACACGCTAAACCTTAAACTAACCCTAACTAAACCATAAACCTTTAACTAACCCTATCTAAACCCTAAACAAACCCTAAACAAACCCTAAACAAACCATAAACCTTTAACTAACCGTAACTAAACCTTACACAAACCTTAAATTAACCCTAACTAAACCATAAACCTTTAACCCTATCTAAACCCTAAACAAACCCTAAACAAACCTTACACACACCTTACACAAACCTTAAACTAACCCTAACTAAACCCTAAAATTAACCATAAATAAATAAATCTTTGCTTCATGTATTTACACAGATTTCCAGGATTCAAAGAGAAAGCACAAACGTTTAAGAGTAGGTTGTATTCATTATTTTTGTAAATTTTTGTGATCTGCCTTAGGTAGAGTACACATAATTTATATATGGATACGACGTCGTTTTGCCAAATAGTTTGACCTAGTCATTTTTTTTCTTCATTCTTGCACGACAGAGAGAAACCTAGGGGGCGAAACTTGGAGATCGAGACAATCATGTCTTCGATCAATTCTCCGGCCGAATCAAGATACCGAGTACCCAAACAACGGGGTATTCCCAATATATGCAGATGCGGTGAAGGGGCTGTTCTTTTCACTTTGAAAACATGGGAAAATCCAGGTCGATTATTTCACTGCTGTCCGATGGGATTTGAGAAGGTTAGTCCTTTAATCATATAATCCTAAATTCGGTATAGTCTAATAGTATGTTTGAATTTCATGGTGAAGGACAAAACACACTTGTTCAAATTGACGGATAAGTCAGTTGTTGAAGAAATTGAAGACTTGCAGGAAGTGGTTGACGTGGTGCTCATTGACGATATCCAGTGTCATAATTCAATGAAAGCTTCAGAGATCCTGCTGAAACAACATGAGAGAAGAATTGGAGATATGGAAGATGCAATTGCACGTTTTGAAGCCAAGAACATCGAATGCAGTAGAGAATTAAGGATCATAGAAGCTTTTTTTGTGTGTTGTTTGGTGATGGTATTCATGTACCTCACGTCTACATAATTTTCTTTTGATGATCACATTGTTGTTCTGTTTTTCTCTCAAATAAATGTAACACAATATTTGTTGGTGATTATCATCTACTTGAACCTAAATGTTGCAAACACCAAATCGTTTTGTCAAATACCAAATTGTCATAAAGGAGAGAACAACGACTAAATAAGAATATCACAAGATCCGACCACACACCATTAACTAAATAGGAATATCACATGTTCCTCTCTTGTGCCCTGTCATACCACAACGGCTGCACTTGTGCTTCTTACCCTTCTTTGATCCTTGAGAAGATTTTATCTTGTCTTCTACTGTTTCATACCTTCTCTTTACTGGTCTACTAGCACTCTTTGTTGTCTCTGGTGGTAATACCTTTGCAAGTTTTACTTCAGCTGGGACAGTCCATTCATGCTCTGGAACTACTATTGGATTAATGCATTCCGCATAGACGGTTCTCTATGTTGCAATGGAGTAAACGCCATCAGTAAATCTGTGTACTTCCATACATATGTCAAAAAAACAGAGATCAAGTAATGTCTATGTGCTACAAAACACATACCATATAATAGGTCCCAATATCATTTATTTGCACTTACATACCTCGTGAATAAATTGCTGGAATGGCGTGCCGGCAAGGTATTTTCCCTATATCGTACTTCCCACATGTACATGTTCTCCTTTCCAAATCAACATGACAATCATATGTGTCTCCTTTCACAACCGACCTGTAATTGTCAACCTTGTACACCTGAAATCCTTTTGCCTTCACAATTCTCCTATNTTTATTTGCACTTACATACCTCGTGAATAAATTGCTGGAATGGCGTGCCGGCAAGGTATTTTCCCTATATCGTACTTCCCACATGTACATGTTCTCCTTTCCAAATCAACATGACAATCATATGTGTCTCCTTTCACAACCGACCTGTAATTGTCAACCTTGTACACCTGAAATCCTTTTGCCTTCACAATTCTCCTATCAATATTTTTCTCAACCTTAACGGTTAAAGGATCCAGCTGCTTCGAGCTTTCCATTCGACGCTCGTAAAACCACCTGGTCATCATTTCTCTTATGCTATCTATCAAAGGAATAACTGGAAATTCCCGAGGTGATCTCATAAAAGAATTTAGTGACTCTGCAGGGTTATTGGTCCTAATGTCATACCTTGAACCAGGGAAAGCAGAACGAGCCCATTTTCTCACATCAGCTTCTTGTAGATATCTTCCAAGAGCAGGACACATATCAACAATTTCCGTGTAACGTTCTTGAAACTCACTAAACCTATATGCCCGTGAAGCTTTTTCAACCAAAGCAGTTAACCCCTTTGTCTTGAATTTCTTAACGACATTGGTCAACTAGTGATGAATGCATATTCCATGTCTTGATTGAGGGTAGACAGTACCAAGCGCTTTAACAATTGACGCATTTCTATCTGACACAAAAGCTAAGCCGTTACTATCAGCGATAACAACATTCAGTTGTCTAAAGAACCACTCCCATGAATCATGATTCTCTGAATCAACAACTCCAAATGCGATCAGATACAAATTGGAGTTACCATCTACAGCTGTAGCCACAAGTAGAACTCCTTTATATTTATTTTTCAGAAAAGTTCCATCAACAACAATCACCTTGCGAATGCCATTGTACAATCCTCTAACTGATTGCCCAAACGAGAGAAACAGATACTTGAATCTCCCTTCCTTAGTGGTTTCAAAGTGAGTATGCGTACCCGGATTAGCTTCTTTAAGCATATACAAATATTTTGGTATTTTTGCATAACTTTTATCAGGTATACCTCTAACTGCTGCAATTGAAAACTCACGAGCTTCCTAGGCGTGCCAATAACTAATCTCACAACTATGCTCCAGGCGCATATACTGGACTATGTCATTCGCTTTTGGTCCTTCATGGGGATCCTCAAATCTATGTTGTATCAAACTCCCAATTGTTCTTGCTGACGCACATGAATGAATTGCTACACACTTGTTGATCATGAAGTATGTAGACCCATCTAGACATTGCGCACGCACAGTCCAATTACATATTGAATCTTTACATAGAATATACCACCATTTTCTCATCGATTTGAGAACAACATAATCGAAATTATTGTTCATCGCCCAAATTTCAGCTGTGGCCTTTAGGACAGCTTTACTTCTGAATATTTGATCCTTCGTCACAAAAAAATTTCGCGAAGATCGGCCATCCTTATCACCATCTCCATTGTTTTCACTCGTTAAACCAGCATCACCGGAACCATCTTCAGCGACACGCTTCTTCTCAGAAGAGACAGTTGACGTTTTGACAATGTCTCCTCGATTAGTTTGATGAATTTCTTCATCCTCAACATTACTTGAGTCACACGGTTCCTTATTCAAATCAAAATTGAATCGTTCCTTTTCTTTTGCAGCAAGTACTAGAGATGGTGACACACAAGGTTGTAGAAGAACCCTTCTTCACATACATCACAAAATTGTAGAAGAACCCTTCTTCACATACATCACAAAATTAAATAGTTGTTGATCATTGCTGATTATAATTGGATGGTGGTCTATGCATGCGTACTTGATTCCTAATCTTTGTAGATTGCTTCTTAGAAAAGAGTGGTAAATAGAAATTGTTGGCAACTTCTTGTTCTAAGTCAATGAAATCTAGATTAGGTCCCAGGGATGTAGGAAACGAACCTTGTTAACAAAGTTTTTGTGTTTTTACTTTTTACACTTGTTTTTCGTCACCTCATCCATACTGACATCGGATATCTGACCGGGTCACCTCAGTAACTGGTGAAATCGTGGATGATGAGGATGGAACTTATTCAGGAAGTATAACAAAGTTTGGTTGAAGATCGATAAAGATGGCGTGATCGTTTTTCTTCTTTGGTTTAGAAGGTGCGGGTCATCAAATTGGCTTTTCACTGTGATGTGACTCAAAGGGGAGATTGAAGATGTGGATTTCAAGTTAGTTCTGATGAGTGCACATGCATAGTCGAAAAGGGGGGAGATTGAAGTTGCAGTTTGCTGAGATGTTTTGTATTAGTTCGTGTAGCATTTCAGGAGGTAGTACATGTGTGTGTCATGAAAAAGGGTTATGCTGTTGTTCGTGTTTTTTCATGAGTGTGGCTTTACTGAGTTTTGAAAAGGAAAGAAGATATGTGCTTGAAGACATATAGATGTTTTCCTATAAAACAAGAGGAAGTTTTCTTGATGATGAAGTTTTCCATTAAATATGTGGAAAGTTGCAGTAAATAAATTGGGAAGATTTGAAGGGCAAGTTCAACACTTGAAAAGAAAGTTCAAGACGTGAAGAACAAGTTATGTTGTGCTATATAAGGAGGGACATGCCTTATGAGAAAGGCAGATAACATAGAAGAGAGAGAGGTTTCCTTGGTGTGTGTTACTACTTGGTGTCAATGTACATCTTGAAGCATTTTCTAAAGAAGTTTGATGTGGACATAGTTTGTTGGCGTTCATGGTGACGTTTTGGTTGTGGAGTTATCCATTATGTGGAGCTCGTGGTGAGCGTGTTGTACGTTGAAGATGATGTGATTTTAGTGTTACTGATGTGCGTTGGGTGCTCACGCATTTGGTGAAGTATTTCTGAGATGTGGAAGATTGAAGCCTAGTCTCAGGGGGAGTTTAACAAAGGTGGTTTCATTGAAATGGTATGTAAAGATTGCAGCTGTAGATGACAGTGTGCTCTGATGCGTTGGATGGTGGTCTATGCATGCGTGCTTGATTCCTAATCTTTGTAGATTGCTTCTTAGAAAAGAGTGGTAAATACTAGTGTGTGTGTTGTACCATATAGAAATTGTTGGCAACTTCTTGTTCTAAGTCAATGAAATCTAGATGAGGTCACAGGGATGTAGGAAACAAACCCCGTTAACAAACTTTTTGTGTTTCTACTATTTACACTTGTTTTTCGTCACCTCATCCATACTGACAACGGATATCTGACCGGGTCACCTCAGCAACTGGTGAAATCATGGATGATGAGGATGGAACTTATTCAGGAAGTATAACAAAGTTTGGTTGAAGATCGATGAAGATGGCGTGATCGTTTTTCTTCTTTGGTTTAGAAGGTGCGGGTCAGCAAATTGGTTTTTGACCGTGATGTAACTCAAAGGGGGAGATTAAAGATGTGGATTTCAAGAAAGTTATGGTGCGTGCACATGTATAGTCAAAAAGGGGGGAGATTGAAATTGCAGTTTGCTGAGATGTTTTATATCAGTTCGTGTAGCATGTCAAGTGGTAGTACATGTGTGTGTCATGAAAATGGGTTATGCTGTAGTTCGTGTTTTTCCATGAGCGTGGCTTTACTGAGTTTTGAAAAGGAAAGAAGATATGTGCTTGTAGACATATGGATGTTTTCCTATAAAACAAGAGGAAGTTTTCTTGATGATGAAGTTTTCCATTAAAGATGTGGAAAGTTGCAGTAAGTAAATTAGGAAGATTTGAAGAGCAAGTTCAACACTTGAAAAGAAGGTTCAAGACGTGAAGAACAAGTTATATTGTGCTATATAAGGAGGGACATGCCTTATGAGAAAGGCAGACCACATAGAAGAGAGAGAGGCTTCCTTGGTGTGTGTTACTACTTGGGGGCAATGTACATTTTGAAGCATTTTCTAAAGGAGTTTGATGTGGAAATAGTTTGTTGGCGTTCATGGTGACGTTTTGGTGGTGGAGTTATCCATTATGTGGAGCTCGTGGTGAGCGTGTTGTACGTTGAAGATTATGTGATTTTAGTGTTACTGGTGTGCGTTGGGTGCTCACGCATTTGGTGAAGTATTTCTAAGATGTGGAAGATTGAAGCCTAGACTCAGGGGGAGTTTAACAAAGGTGGTTTCATTGAAGTGGTCTGTAAAGATTGCAGCTGTAGATGACAGTGTGCTCTGATGCGTTGGATGGTGGTCTATGCATGCGTGCTTGATTCCTAATCTTTGTAGATTGCTTCTTAGAAAAGA